GGGCTGCGTGCGTGTGCGTGTGCGCGTCAAGCTGAGAGGGTCTATCGATTCTATGCCGGAACGTACCCTGGTACTATCTAATATGCCGGACCGTACCTCGTCTACTCCACTAACGAGTCTAGGGAGTCGCCTACGCCTACTCTCTAACCCGAACCCGAACCTGAACCCTAACTTTAACCCTAAACCTAATCCTAACCCTTTAACCATATCAAATAGTGACCAGGGTACGTTCCGGTATACCGGACCGTACCCAGGGTACGTTCCGGCAGTACCCTGGGGGACATAGACCCTATATGAGCCTTAGTTTGATTGAGCAGCTCGCGTCGTACAGGGGTCGTATAGTGACGCTCTTACTCTTCAGTGGCAAGCGCTAAGGGCGATAAGCACTGATCTCTATAATATATTCTGATTATATTATAGAGATCAGTGGCGATAAAGGCTAATTAAGGCGCTAAACGATAAGGGCGCTTCGATCGCACGCTAACGCTATAAAATCAATCGAAAGCTTATCAGTGTCGATCGAGGTATCTAGTTGTCGGGTAGGTGTGGGGGAGGGAGTGGGCAGTTATAAGCTAGATTGTGGACGAATATAACCACCACTAGGAAACTATAACTGCTCGGGCTAGTGTACAGCGCCGTACCGTTAAATTCGTACAGCGCCCAGTTCAGGATATTTACGTAGACAAGGCCTGTACTGTATACGTGATTTATACGTAGACAACGCCTTTCCCGCACATTCGTACATTCGTTGCTCTTTGATTTCAGCTATCAGCGCAATCACTTTACACCATAACGTAGCACGTCGATTCGCGTCGGACTTAGTTTAGCATACATTGCCCGTTGTCAGAAGCAACACAAATAGTTAGGACTATCATGCATAAGCCTAATTAAAATGTTTTAACCTTTGCACGATATTTCTCTTTAAAATTAAGTTGTACGGCATTTGAGGCTTATGATATCAATGCTGTTTCTGACAACAGACCCCAGGTTTACGCTTCGCACTTGCAGATACAAATAAGATAAGTACACGCACAAGCTTATTCTTATCAAGAACGAGTCGGGAAAACCCACTTGAAATATTTTACTATACATGACGTATATACCTATTGGAACGATGTAAAGCCTTACATTCGGATTACAACCAATCTTTGTTATCCGTTTATCCATTCGTGCTCATACACACTACCAGTGTCATTATTGTCATTAATTTGTCATTGTTTGACATTGCATTGGTTGACATTACATGCCATTATTTACCTTTATTAACCCCTGACACTACGCATCAATGTACGCACATTAGGCCATCCTTAAAAAATTATATGTTTGCTGTCCTCCGACCGACCCACGAAAATAGCTGCGACCCAAAAGTTTTTTTTGACATTTTGGGTTCCATTTTTTTACATTCCTTATAGTTAAGACTGAAACACAAAGCATGTGTGGCAAACATGAGAACCGACTTAAAATAACTATTATGCCTCACACACAAAAAAGACCTACCTACCTACCCACTAAAAAAATCATGGGTCGGGGGACAGCAAACATAGAATTTTTTAAGGATGGCCTTACATCACAGTCAATCAGCGACAATCCCACATTTATCGCCCGCCATAAATCACTGCGGTGAACGTGGATATAACAATCAGGGTCGCAGTCGTAAAACATCTCGGACACGAGCACGCTGGATGCTATATCGCACGTGACAACATCGCTATCACACATGCTAGCCACGTGCTCGGTGGCTATCACGCGAAACAAATATACAAAGAAATAATAATAATATTCGAGATCCGCGGACTTATCGGCGTAATAGCGATCGACCTATCGACCGAGCACTGTCCTCGCGTGGCACGGCAAGCATGTTGAACCATACGAGTCCGCGATAACGCCTGCCGGATTGGGTTCAATGAAACATATGTGCAAACGATGAAGAAGAGGCCAACGCAGCTTATTCTGTGTGTTGTCATGGAAAAAATGAGAGAAGCCCTGCCCACCTCATCAATAGTCTCTTCCTCCTCCTTCTCCAACTCTTCTAACCGCGCGCTCTCTCTTGTTCTCCAACACCGCGCCATCTTCCTTTTCATGAACTACTCGTGTCACGCCTCCACGTCATCTACACTGTGTCTACACCGTTATACGTCACTATATATTCCCAGATGAAGACACGATACTGCGGGCGACTCAGGCCTATTATGCACACCCACGATCCAAGTTAGGGCGCACTCTAACGCGCAATGAGGCGCATATACATATACGTGTGCGTACGTGCGTGCATCTTTCTTTCACTTCCATAACGTTGACGCAACTTAACCAAGTTTGTAATAACTGAAACTAGGAAAATATGGTTCCCCTCCCAACTGTGTAATGGTTTGACCCAGGCTCGTTGCTGTTCTAATGGCTCTAACTATGGCCCGTACACTGCATCTGCACATTTAGAAGCATAATTACGGGCTTTATAAGTGTATTAGTGTTCTCAAGAGTTCCCAGTCAATGACCAATCAATTCATATACATTTCTAGGTAAGTTATAGTTCTTGTACCATATTAGCAACATTACTTCATTTCAGAATATGGTTTTAACATTGTCATCCACATGGTATAACAGTATAATTTTGATGCTGACGTTTATAACGCTCGTTGATAATCTCGCTATCATACTATATCCCCATCAAAGTTATGTGATTAATACCATTTTACCTGCAATGTATCTAACCCAAGCTATTCTGGATAGACTAAAGGAAGTTAAATGCAATAAAAGTCAATAACTCAACACAATAAAATTCACCTAGTAAATCCAGTACTTTATTAATTCACACTTATGTGAAAGATCTAACTAATATGACATAAATTCACAGAATACAGGAATTCATGCTGAGGTGTTCCTAAAATAACATCATCAACGATTAACATTAATATACTTTTACTACCAACAAGATCTTTTAACCCCAGAGAGGTAGTTGTAATCAGCTAAGTGGCGGAATATGAAACGGCTGACCCTCCAGCGCTTTAGCAATCCTCTCGCCCTAGAAGTGACTATGCAGCGTTTGTGACATCGAGAAATGCTCCCGTCTCTTGGCATGGCAGCAATTTCTGTATCAGCTATTGCCTGCAAATTTAAAGCAGCTGCCTTATTAAGTGTTTCCCTAACGCTTTTGACTACACTAGAATTATTAATCATCATAATGGCATATACTGTACATACGTGAACAATATATTATACTAAAACAATACAATGACTAGCCACCGTATAAATAAGGCCGGTCTTTGGAAACAATACAGCCATTTAGCATGAGTACATGATAGCAAGTATTACATTGACATGATGTCTTTTGATACCATGTGCGCTTGATTTCACAATTATTTATGAACTTCCAAACATCACATTAGACTCCATACCAGGCTTTCCATATTTATTTGGATTCTGTGCCTACACAAAACTTCATTAACCAATTGCAACTATGTGCCGAATATGAATGGCACAAACGAAACCATTTTGATTTTGGCTACTATTGTTGATGGATAGACACTTTTTCAATCACATTATTAGTTCTACTGATAGTGATCATATCAAATAAACTAAAATGGGATGTTTAACTTTAAGGGCGCGACAAACCCGCTTGCCCAGGGCAACCAAAATTCTTTTTTATTGAATGTGTAGACGATTGTACAATTGTCATCAGCCAATCAGAGTTGTTCAATGATACTGACGTAATAGCGATGTTTCATGTTTAGTATGTCATGTCATGTAATAGCAATGCACGCACACACTCATGCACGCACGTGTACGTGCACACGCACGCACGCACGCATGCACGCACGTGTACGTGCACACGCACGAACGAACGTGTACGTGCACACGCGCGTACACACGTATTTGTGCATGCGCACACTCGCACGTATATGTGCATGCGCACACTCGCACGCACGTGTACGTGCACACGCACGCACTCACGTGTACCTGCACACACACGCACGTACGAACCAACGCACTCATGCACACACATGTAAAATCGCCTAGTGTGTCCGGCCCTAAAACGTTTTGATATTATCGGGCGATTATTTCAGTCGCCCGACTCAATCGCCTAGTGTGTCCACTCGACTATTTAATTCAGAACATAAACAAAAGTTACAGAACAAATAAATGCAGAAACAAATAAAATACAAAGAAATACAGAAAGCAGAGGAAAATAAAAACACCTTATGGCGTTCGAACGCGGTCCCTTACGATCCCGAAGCGAAAGCTCTACCGTTGAGCCACTGAGACCGACATTAAATTTCTGGATATAGAAATCAGTTAACCCTAACCCTAACCCTAACCTAAACCCTATCCCTAATTCTGAAATAAAACAAAATTAGCAAAAAGAAAAAGAAAAAAAAGCCTCTGTGCAAAATTCGTTCGTATTTGCAAGATGGTGTGCGTGCGATAGTGGGCGTGTCCTAAAAATTGTCTAGCCAATCACGTTGCTCAATTTTTCTTCCATAGCTATACGGTTTGGGAATCGCAAATTCGCAACCCGGCCCCCAGGCCAGGCATGGTCATTACGTGATCAGCTACCTCAAATATTTGCCCCTCTACTGCAACCTGTGAACGAGGATTATCTTTGCTGAAGTACACAAAAACAGATTATAGTGGTAACACTATATACTGTGCTGTCAGTCTATTATATCTGCATGCATGCACCGCTATATTCTCTGCACTTACAATCCAGCTTCAAATAAACGTGAACATATTTTATTAATTTATTGGGAGTGTGGTGGGTTTTTGATAATAAACTGACACTTAACAAATTAAAAAATTTAAACAAACTGCGTGCTGTGTCCCAACATGAATATATTTTGTATACAAACTCGTATCAGCTGTTCAACTTTCTACCGTGCTGTTAAGTGAAATGCTGGATGTTGACTAGTTGGACTTTCATTTACGTTATTTACCATTTAAATTCATATTAGAAAAAAATCTCATGTATTTCTTTATGTGTTTCAGGCAAGTTTTTTTTGTAGCACCCTTATTTTTTGTAGGGTACTACTCAAAGGGACAGGGAATGATAAGGGCAGCAGAGGACACAGCATATGGACAAAACGGATGGAACTGATGAGAGAGAAAGTGTGAATGAGGCCCGTTCCTACACACAATCACATAATCTAGGTGGTATGACAGTCAAAACCTGTGTTACCTGTATAGACTAACCACCTGTCTGTTAAACCCATTTTGTTTATTTCCATTGAGTGGACATTTTACAGTGAATCCATCTCTATAGAATGGCCACCTGTCTTCAAAGGTCAATTTTACAGTTTCAGTTGAGTAGCCCTTATATACAGGTTTGATTAAAATGAACTTTTTTCATGCTTACTCTTAAATCTGCTGGTAAAATGTCATTTTTCCTCAGAGAATTTACTCTGAGGCGTTCAGGCGCCCACTGCTTTATTGTCCATCTTCTTTTGAAATCTCTCCTCATCCTACAATCTTGCCATTTCCCAGCAGCAACACCAGTCTTGCCATATTTAATTACAAGTGGAGCTATATCAGAATAGCATCGCTCTGACCCGTGAAATATCACACCACCGATTCGAAGAATCTGAAATAACAATTTTTCTGTAAGCGATAGGTTTATTCCTGTCTAAAACACGAGACTACAATGCGAAGCATAAGCTCAACAAAATTTACTACAGTAAAACTCGCGTAAGTCGACATAGTCTGTCGTCAATTCGCGTAAGTCGACATGGAAGTCAAAGTCGACTCCCGATTCGCTCTCATAGTAAATCCATTGGAATAGCCCTGCCTAAGTCGACATTTATAAGTCGTCATTATGTACAAGTCGACGCCCTCAGACAGGTCCCATGTAATACAAACAACAGTAATTTCCCATCTGTAAGCAGGGGTAGAAATTAACTTTTGAACAAGAGGGTCCAACCCTAAGTGTGCCCTACCCTCAAAAAAAGGGAGTCCGCAGCAAAATGAGGGAGTCCGCAGTCTGAGGTTCAAAATTAAAAAGATATTACAATAACGCATACATGTGTTTTATTTTTAAGTGCATGCCAGTTGCAGCGTCTCCCAAATTTTTCTTTGCACATTAGCTGAAAAA